CCTGAAATGAGTGTTTTCATTCAAACTTGTCCTTGAAAAAAATCTCTAACTCCTAAAGCTTTGGTCTCTTGCAGTTAAACGGACAACATACTACACAGAAACGAAGGATTATCAGTAAAACAAAGCCTTAATGGCCCTTTCACTGCCACATCTCCTACTGAAAAATATCAAGAGACAGCAAACAATTTAAAAGTAATATACAGTCCTACTCAACAGTCCTTAAAAGAGTGTGGTTAGTGGTTTCTGACTCTGCCCACTGGGACACTTGTATTAATTTTTCCAAGTCAGAAAAGTTTAGAAGTAATGGGAACAGTGGAATTTGCATGGGACAAGAAGCCCCAAGTTCCTGCTCTGGCTCTAGTGGGATATGAGTGGTGCAAGCTCACAAAGCCATTTCATTTTTCTAAGACCCAGGTCCTTCAATGTTGCCATATTTTTGGGAGCAGCTTGAAGGTGGCTACTGTGTGTTATTTTTCTTTGTAGCCCTAAGAGACAATACAGTAAAACAAACAAAACCCCACTACTTTGGAAGCTCCTTGGGAGCAAGAAAATGTCTTTCTGTTCATTGTTGTACCCTAGAATGGCAGATGTTATAGACGTAATACGCTACTTAGCATAGATAATAAATATTTCCTGAGTGAATAAACAGATATAGAGTTTATTGTGTGCATGTATGAAAGAGGGATACTAATCTCAGCCTGACCAGTCACAGGGTTGTTGACAGGGTCATACGAAAATAGTTACGCGACTGGATTTTATAAATTGAATAAACCCAAGGTAATCCTATTGTTACATTTAAGCAGAACATGTTGGTTCCATCATCTTTTGCTCTTAATTGTATTTATAAATACATCTATAGCATTTTGAATCATTCCATCTGCTTTCATCTTTTTAGACAGCAACTGATTAAAAGCTGTTTAGCTTTAAATAGCTTTATATACTTTCAGCTAGACGTGTATTTCCCCCATCTTGATACCTAATTAATTAAAAATATCTTGTGCTAAAGACTAGACATATGGACCATTAGGTTGAATTATCACAATATTTTTCTCTAGGTTGATTATCAAAATATTTCATTATTTTCACGAAATAAGGTTTTCCAAAGGCTCTGTTTTTTGAGTCTGCTATGAGTGGTTAAATGCTGTCACAAAGAGCATTCAACTTGATGTATGGGACACATTATCACAGGGAAGTGTACTGTCATATGGCATTATGACACTTGAACTCCAGGGAGAAATTTGGGTAGAGTGTCTGGCCAATATGTTCTAGCCATCTTCTTGAAGCTGCCTAATGCTTGCTGTGTCTTGACCCCAATTTTCCCAAAGCACATTTATCCTCCCTCCTACAAAGTTTTGAACTCCCACTGATACATCATGAAAAGTTGGGATAGATCCTAGAAGACTAGAAAGCTATTTCTTTGGATTTTATGTTTAATTCTATTCTAACTTCTAAAAAGTGAATAGGACAGCTATCCTTGCCTGAAATAAAACATATTTAGTTTTTTTCAATCATGTGGTCAGAGCTTCTTATAATAAATGAAATTCCTGTTACTGTAGTTTAAACTCACTTTCTTTACAGATTTGAAAGAAAAAAAAAAAGAGAGAAAGCTTCCAATAATACCCTGAACTTTTTATATCTGATAGTTTCATTATAACAAATCTCAGATCCAGATACAACATGATCAAATTATGTCTCCAAATGCCTCATAAAAAATGGTTGCCCCAGTTGCTAAAATAGCAGGTAAAAAGGCTTTTCTAGCCTTTTTCTAGCCTGGAAGATTTTCAGTGATTTTCACTGATTTTCACTGATTTTCAGTGAATCCCCAGATGCTGTACTCCCAGAAACTCTCTACCTTAAAAGTTGGCTATTTTCTCTGCCTCAGGATTTGCCCTCATTGAACAATACTCTATTGCTAAGTTATTCATGCTAAAATGTGAGAAAGGAAATTGAATTACTAAATCCTTTGGATGCTCTGAATGCTTGGATTTTGAAATCTGGTAGCTGAGACATCATGTTACTAGCATATTCCTTTTTTACTCAAATATCTCAGAATCACATAGATACTGCTTAAACTCACTTGATAGGAACTCTTCATTCAAAAGAAAAAGATCAGTGCTAGTGAATTTCAGTCTTGTAAGAATTATCAGTCAACCACGACTTCTCACTGTGACTGTTACTCTACTTTTTGGCTGACTCCTTAGAGGCCGCATTGTCTGAAATAAAATACTTAATTAAGTACCACACTCCTTCCTGTTCCCTCCCCCTTTCCTCTGTGACCCACCTAGACTGTTTATGAAGGTGTGGTCCCTGTGTCTCCTATTCTCCTAAAGTGAGGTTTTAAACAAAATCAAAACCAGTTACCAAAATGTAATGACTTTCTCATAATAATGTTACAACAAAGGGAACTTTTTAAGGATTTAGAAATAGGTGGTCAACAAAAGGTTTTGTATTACATTATTTAGACCAGATTTCCCATCTGGGCAAACTTTCTAATTTTCTAACTTGAAAATTGTACAAAACACATGTGTAAATTCTTGGTTAGAAGCCAACATTAACCCATCTGGGCAAACTTTCTAATTTTCTAACTTGAAAATTGTACAAAACACATGTGCAAATTCTTGCTTAGAAGCCAACATTCAGTTGAAGGTGGAAAAAAACCATATATCTATGTAGCAAATATAACTCACTTTATTTTTTAAATAGTGCCATTTTTCAACAGCTTTGGTATTGCTTTTATAGATATAATAGGACAAATTAAATGTTTCACTAGTATTATATTTAAAACATGGAGAAACAAAAAAGTAATCTGAATGACCCAACCAGTGAATTGCTTAATAATTTATGAAGATGTTGAGTATGGAAAACATGGAAAAGTGAGGTAACTCTCAAACACATATAACTTCCATGACTTCTAATCCAAGTCTGGACAGTGACGTGGTGAGTGAGGCCAATACTGCTGGACCGCAGGTCTTTTGGGGGGTACACAGGGGAGGGGCAGAAGCAGCAGAGGATGCAGGATTAAAGACCACCACATCGCTACTGCAGAAGAGACTCTGGCTTGACCTTTGTTTTCCTCTCCCCACTGTCCTCTCCGAGGGTTCTGCTAGATCTCAGTTCTCTTTCCTTGTTTATACCACTACTGTACTTGACCTTGATGTGTTCCTATTACCCGCTAAGCAAACATGATTATTTGTAAAGTCCTAAACAAGCTGAAGGAATGNAGGGTTCTGCTAGATCTCAGTTCTCTTTCCTTGTTTATACCACTACTGTACTTGACCTTGATGTGTTCCTATTACCCGCTAAGCAAACATGATTATTTGTAAAGTCCTAAACAAGCTGAAGGAATGGAGGGACAATAACCTCCACTGTTTTTATCATGTTGCTTACAAGGACTTCTGTGGATAAATAGCACAATTCAGGTAAGAAAACCTTTCTCAGAATATTATTTCATAGAGGCAACAATATCCTGTAGAAAATGAAATCAGGCAGGAAGTCAGAGATGATGGATCCTGGTCTTCCAAACACTGGGTAACGTTGGGCAAATAGCGGATGCAATGTGGACCTCACTGTGGCTTGCTGTCTTATAAACTGGAGATAATATTTGACTCTAATAACTGATAAGTCCGGGTTAAAGATTAATTTGCTAATATGCAGAAAAAGGCTCTGTTCTTTAGAAGGGGAGAAGTGTGATGTAATAATTTAGTATTACTATCTGTTCATCAGGTATCATGATTTAGTGATCCTATCAAACAGAGAACAAAAGTCTTTTATCACAAGTTTGAATCAGCTCATTCATTCCAGGCTTCAGAGCTTTGGGCACCAGCATCTATGGGACCTCACCAATAATGGTCACTTTTTACATAGTGTCTTTGTCTGAGGAGGGTTTTCTGAATCCTCCTCTTACAAATGGATTTGTTTTTCTCCCAAGCCCCTGGGCAACCACAGGAAAGCATTCTTAAGTCTTCTCCTCAAATTCTATAATGATTTGGCGAGCAGAAGAAAATCAGAACAGAAGTGTGTGTCTGTGTGCTTCCAACAACATAGAGGTACCTAAAGAGAGAGTTAAACATAAGAGAAAAGGACCTATTCTCTTAGTTTTCCTTCATAGACAGTCACTGCCACAAGGAGACTTACCCATCTTGGGTGCTGATAGGTGGCTGGGAATGTGTGAAAGCCTATTAAACAACCAATTTCATGGTATACCCACTAGAAATACAATTTTTTTCTCTTCTTCCTGAATCATTCAGTTTGAACCTATTCAGAAAAACTGCTGATTCACTGGGACTATGAAATAGAGACTCTTCTTAAGAGGCCCTTCCATGAGTAGCCCATTTCCAATTATGTAAAGTTCTTTTAGTCAGTTCACAACTGTAAAAAGTTCCTTTAAAATCTTTGAGTTCATTTATAACTCTGAGGGGTTAAGTTTAAGTCTACAAAGGGTTTAAGTCTACAAAGACCTTAAAAAATCAATATCTTTTATTATTGGACACATTTCTAGATTCACTTAATAGTGTTACTCTCTCAAAAAACTTTACTCTGTTGCCCTTCAACTCCCCTTTACTGGGGTAAGAAAATATAAAAATGTCTGTTAATAAATAAGTTTAAGAATTCCTTGACTGAAAAAGTCCATTGCAAAAACCAAACATAAAACGAATAGAGGGGAATAATAAACTCAGTATTTTAGACCCATTTCTTGATTTTTGTCTAAACACAGTGTGACCAAGAAGCTTCCACTTATTTTTATGCATATATTATATATAAATATATTTTTTACACACACACATATATACTTAAAGGTATATATTTAACAACATGGAATGGTAACATATCAAATGCTTCGATTCCGTGCAAACACATAACCTTTCTTGTGAAGGAAATATATTCATATTATAAAAACAAATCATGGAGAGTAACATGCAACAGTGGGGGGAAGAGAACGGGGTAGGGACAGAGGGCCAGGAGGAACACAAAGAATGTAAAGAACAAGAAGTGTCATTGACCTGATTTGTCAGAGTTGTTGCCTGTGATTGGAGTGATGGAGCAGCTGGGATTAGCCTTTGCGCTGTCCTTGGAAGAAACCATTTTGGGTTTATTTTTCGTTGCCTCTAGTGCTTTGACCTTCTTGGCATGTTTACTTCCTTTGTAGTGGGCCTCGGCCTGGCTCTACAAAGGAGAACAAATCAGGCTCATTGTTTTGCTACTTACAAACACCACAATGGATGATCATGCAGGAAAAAATACATTCAGTCATAGGCACCACAGACGTTTAGAGCTCAGCACTCAACTACGTTTTTGGCATTTAATGAGTAGTAGACCAGTATCTAAGAGATTTTTGCATACTGAGACCTTCTATACAACAAAGAGGACCTGTGTTTTTCAAAACCAGACATTATGCAAGTGGACAAAAGGGTTAGGGCAAAACTGGGATGAAGGTGAACTTTGTCATTAATGTCTTCCCACCACTGCCCATCGGGGTTACTTGTCAAATGTTTGACCTGCAACAAGCACCTTGAGTGTCCTACCCGGGTAAGACCTTACACAACCACTCCATTTAGTTTCCTTTTAGCTACAAATCTGTCTTCCCTGCACCTATATTCCTCTTGGCTCTGCTCTGAGGGCAAGTGATGTGACAAAGCAACCAGCTAGTGAGTGGAAAAGGCACTCCATTGTGGAGTCATCTCTATGTGCTTAAAGTGTCATTCTGAGGACTCCAATTCTAAGAATAGACAATATAAGCCGCAAAGAAAATAGGGACAATGCTTGTTTTTGATCTCAGATGTGATTCTGAAGTCAAAGCAGTGAGTATTACATTCACTTATACACAAAGCATAGGTGAAACTGTGACTTCAATACTAGATCAAAAAAAAAAAAAAGAAGAGTGATCAAGGCAAGTGAATATTAAAAATTTTCAAAAGACAAAAACAAGTTATGGAAAAACAAGAAAACATTTAGTCAGTTTGCTGAGTTTTGGAAACTTTTCCTCTACCTAAAGAAGAAGGATTTTACCTTTTTGGCATCTAGTATAATGCACATATTAACTGAAGAATTAAGTATATTTGCTCCAATTCCATTTAAAACAGACCCCCAAAATATAAACAAACTAAAACATATACTATAGGTAAAAAAACAAACTAAAACATATATGGTATATTAGTTAGAAAGTAAAGATGCTGATAAGCCTGTTATATAAAATAAGTGAAAGTTTCTGTTAGACGATTTCTAAAATAATAACTTTTTTAACTTCAGTTTTCCTTATATACACTTGTGTGTGTTTGAAGATGGTAATACTAATGCTTTCATCCATTTTCCTCAACAAGCAGAATACAGGCAGTGTGTGTGTGTGTGTGTGTGTGTGTGTGTGTGTGTAGATATGTAGGTAGACATGGCAGTGGACAGAGGAGTCAGGTTTTACTTCTACATTTCAACTAAATATATGTGATTTTCCTAGCACATAACCTGGATCCCCCAAGGTCAACAGATTTGAACTGACTGTACTTAGTCCCTAACTTTCTGAATATTTTTTCATAAATATTGTTTTAAACTATCATTGACTTATCATTGTTCTAGTTGGTTTGCTCAAGGACTTATGCTGTTCTCTGTCAAGTTGAAAAAAATCCAATCCTAAGGGAGGAAAAAGTGTAATATTAAGTTTTATTAACATCTGAGAATGGTTAAATCCAGCAAATATTGTTGGGTAGACATAAATTAAGAAAATATACAAATAAAACTTTAAAACTTGATAACATGAAGAAATAACAACAATGACCAATATTATTGAGCCTCTGCCAAGAACAGTTCTAAATGTATTATGTGTATTCGCTCATATAATTATCATAATACCCTGTAAGGTAGGTACAATTATTGGTCAACACGTTACAAATAGAACACTGGGCATGAGAAGTTAAATACTTTGTCAAAAGTCACACAGGTAGGTGTAGAAGCCACTTTGTGGATCTGAAATGCTTCCACATGTACCCCTATTTTACTATACGTTATTGTTGTTGCTTTAGTCACTAAGTCTTGTCCAACTCTTTTGGCCACCAGGCTCCTCTGCCATGGGATTTGCCAGGCAAGAATACTGGAATGGGTTGCCATTTTCTTCTCCAGGGGATCTTCCTGACCCAGGGACTGAACTCACATCTCCTGGTTGGCAGGCAGATTCTTTAACGGTGAGCCACCAAGGGAGCCCATTTAACTATGTATCCTTACTTTAAACACACACATACACTAAATTAACAATATAATTTTATTAGAAGTAAAAAATTACATACAAAGCACACGGCTTTTAATGACTAAGTGAAGGATTATACTTTAGTAGAAGTTTCTATCAGTGGGGAATATCTTAATTCATGGAAATAAATTTATTGGATTGAAAAAGTTTGTTTGGACTTTTATGTATGATGTTATGGAAAAACCCAAACAAACTTTTTGGTCAAACCAACACTGACATAGTACGTTAGGCCTGAACCTTCTGTTGAGTAGCTAAGAAAGGCCTGCTTCTTTGGTATATAACAATTTCTACAAGACATCAGGAGACCAATCAGCAGACACCTATTTATCTAGCACTAATGGTCTGCTTTCTGATTCCCTTCCAAAAGAACTTCTATACACCCTAAGCTGGCAGTAATCAAATAGACCCCTTGCCAAGAATTGTCAAAATTAGAGTTACCCAAAGCAACATACTGACTTTCACACAGGAATTCATTGATATCTAGGCTCTCATAGAGGTCACTCCAGTAGCTAGCTGACCACCCAATGGTTAGAGGAATGACTTGGACGGGAGATGACATCCTGGGATTTTTTTCCTTCCATTCATCTCCATCTGTATTACTAAGGCCTCTCACTTTCTGAAATCCTCCACTTCTCTTAGGACCCTACTGGTCCAAATAAAAAAGATAAATAATGAGATAACGCATTACTTTACAAACAAAAAATGCAATAATGAGAAATTCGATAATTCACTGAGCTCCTGTATCTGTTTTTTACCTTATTTCTATTTTGGACTTCAGAGAGGTAGACAGGATCTTGAAAGAAGACACTGAACTATGTATTCTTCGTGCAGAAAGAACAGCCCAAACACAAACTGGCAAGTGGCTGGCGTAAAGTCACTGGAGGAAGTCCTCAACTATTTATTTACTAAGAGACCCAATTGTTTTGCATCTTAAAAATGTAATTGGAACTGTTCCCTTAATTACAGAAAGTGTATCATTATAACTGTTGGCATCTGATTTTTCTGAGACCTTAGATTTCAATGTGTTAAGCAGTGTTAGATGGGAAGTAGCAGAGGCCAGTTACTTTTCAGAAAAAAAGTATATATTTTATATACTAAAATGCCAGATAAAACAGATGTCAAACAAACTACCATGAAGCAACCTAAACTAACAAGGGGAAAAAATCTGATTACTCCACAGGGAATTTCTTAGCACCTGCCATATGCTAGACACTGTGAAGGATTAAAAACAAAGACCCCTTGCTCACAAAAATGGTAGTTGGAAGAAAAGAAGGATGTATAAATAACTATAACCCAAACAGAGAGTGAAACTATAAAATGGAAGATAAACTGGAATAAAGAAGAATGGGAGTCAGAGGAGAGGTAAATCTCTTTGGATTGGAGGAGGACTGAGGAAGCTTCATGAAAAGAATATCAGAGCTGTGCCCTACTTCTAGGGCGGGGATCTGAAGAAGGCAGTGGCATTTCAGGGAGAGGGACCAGCATGTGCTGGGGAAGTGAAGTCCTGTGAATTGTGCAGTGCTTCCTGGGCATATCTGCTTTTCAGTATCACTAGAACACAGACATATAAAAGGAACAATAGGGAAAGACTGCCACATCCAACATTATTATCCAGTGTAAAACAGAAAATACAGCACAGTATTCCACAAGTAAAAAACAATGTTCTACTTGCAGGCATCTTTTATATAGATGGCTATAAGAAAGTTGTTGCTTTTACGTCACACATTTTATCCTCTGCTGCAAACTATAATCCTATACTCAAAGCACAACTAAATTATTTACATAGAAGGTTTAATAATTTGAGAAAAAAGCATGACACTTAAAATACCATAGTTAGATATACTAGAGTTTACCGAGTAGTAGTTAAATAATTAACTTGAATCTTTAACATAAGGCAACATTCAACTCTAAAAATGCTTTTTTTTGCACATTTGTTGCATTGATGAGACCACATCCTCTCAGAGACAATGCTACAACATAAGAAACATAAAATACACCCAAGAGAAAGGCTTACTTAATCCAAAGATAAGTCTTTCTGCTGATATTTGCAATTTTAAGGCCTGCAATATCAGTAATGACATACTACTGGCTTTGACACTCACTTTGTTTAGTCCTCACCTACTAGGATCTGTTGAAAACAAAGTCCAAACAAAATTATAACTGTTAGGAGATGCAATGACTTTGCTAATTCATAATTTATAGCTAAGTGAAACACTCCAGGTGGCTATAGCCTGTCCAAGGTTGCCATGCTGTACACTGTGTGTGCTGGTGGGGTTGGGGGGGCTACCAGTCCCATAGACTTTATGTGAATAGGGTCCTCTGGATTCCTTTAGGGCCAGAACTCTGGCTATGGTGTTTCATATTTATTGGCTTTGCAGTATATATGTATAAAGGCCGTCAACTTCAAATATTTCTATATTATTAAAGAGAAAAGTGGTTACTCCTGGAAGAAAATAATGTACACTCTAAATTGCTGATTCCCTTTGGGCCTAATTCAGATTCTATCAAAATATCATGAAACAGAAGTAGAGTTGNTTTCCTTCTCCAGGGATCTTCCCAACCCAGGGATCGAACCCAGGTATCCTGCACTGCAGGTGGATTCTTTACTGTCTGAGCCACCAGGAAGCCCTGGAAGTAGGTTTAGGTAATTTTTTTTCAATATAGATAATGGATAATAAAATGAATCTTATTTAATGTCACGAGTTCTTTAACACCATTACAATTTAGTTAAGAATTAAGCAAAAAGTATCTGAGATGCTTACCCTAAGAAAATAAGACTGCTTACCTCTCTGATTCATTTACGTTACAATTTTTGAAATGTTTATTTACTTTTGTGTTTTGGGCTGGGGGTCAATATTTGATAAGGTGTGTGCCAACTCCTAGTATGTGCACTAGGGTTTAACTGAGGCAAGATGGAAGTAAATGAACACAG